TACATATTCCTTATGTAAGCCAGGCTCCCATCCTCGCTCAGCACAGGGAAAGCAGCAGCAGGGAAGCTCTGCTCTCGCTCCCCGTCTTTCCTTTTGCCTCCCCACAGCAGCTTGGAAAGACCGAGGAAATGAACCGTGCCGGAGGGAGGGTAACCCTTGTCACCTGCAGTGGAACGTGACCCGCTCACAAGGCCAGCCCAGCTGCGGGGCTGCTAGGAGAGACCCCCGCTGTCCTCCTCCCGTGTGCCTGCAGGCAGCAGGAGGTCACCTCCTCCAAAAAGAAACACTCAATGAATAACACAACTGATTTTCTTCCGGCTGCTTCAACTTCCAGCTTCTTCCGACTGTCTTCCCAGAGAAAATACAGCAGACAGATACATTTGGGCAGAGGAGGGTGATGAAAACTCTTGAGTGGTTCTTTGCTCCCTTAAAAGACACGGCAGTTGTGATTTCAGGAGTAAAGCCCAGTCAGACCTATTTCCTGTTGCAGAAAGGGGCCTCAAGGGCCTACAGAACATTTCAGCAGACTCAGTGGAAATAGGCACGATAAGAAAAAAAACCATGCAAGATAATTTTGACTTCAGGTTTTAGGGCACTCCATTCACAAATGGTGAAAGATCACGGCTAGAAAGAAAAATGCAACTTTATACATATTTCTCCAGGCCACATCTTGCTTGGCCAATAAAGTGTTTGAGGGATTTCACAGCTATGGCACCTAACAAGCCATCAGCACACTTCCAGGTCGCAGAAAACCACCCTCCAAAGCACACAACAGAAACAAGGCCGCACGCTTGGCCTCCTGCTGACAGCGCAAGGGAGCTCTCACCGTGCAGGGATGACTGCAAGTCGTTCATGTTTTGGTCCAGGAGCTGCGAGGGCACCTTATCGCTGGGTTCACACTCCGAGGACCTCACAAACGGATCTTTTGAAGCTGTCTCAGAAACAAAGCAGAGAGTAAAGATAAAGCAACATTCAAAACGAACAAACTAGGAATAAAACTCCTATTTTTAAATACCCAATCTATTTTTTGTATGTTAATACCAACTGAAATATACTGGCCTGAATATTTGTTTGCTATTTTAGATCCAGTTCCCTTGGACATCTGGGCCTGTAGCTTATGCAACAAGTTATTCCCTAATTATCTTCAAATAACCTTACTTCTGTCAAGACTCATTTTTCCCCTAAAAAAAACCCTGCAAGGACACTTGAAGATCTATTAAATACCACACAGTAACATTACACAGAAACATTACAACATTTAAAACATGGCAGAGGACTGCTTTTATGTCGTGTTTTTTTTTTCAAGACTGTATAAACTTCCTCTCAAAAAGAGATCAGATTGGTAAACTTGAAAATAAATGGGAGCCAGGGGTGACTCTAGAATTTCCTGAGAACACCATTAAGACAACCTTTATGACTTTGTGCTCAGGGCTTGAATTACCCAGGTATTTCCCCATAAGAATAAGTACGCTACCCAAAGCGAGACTATTGTTCAATGCTGAAGTAACTTTTCTTTCAGTTAAATCAGTATAAAATTTCCATTAACTTTAGCAGAGCACTAGAAGGCTACTGAGAAGTAATACTGGGAGGACCACTTTCCTTTTGACTGTCATACACTGCTTCCCATCTAGCACTGGACAGCCAGACCACCTGAACAGGTGAAATGCTCCTCAAAGCATTTGCCTTTTTTTTTTGAAAAATTAAGTATTTGTAGAAAATACAAGAAACTTGAGACCAAGATCATACTCCTTTTATTTAGCTTATGAGCTATTTTTCAGATGAAATATCATGGAAACCCAAGTTTCCAGTATTACTTTACGTAAAACATTTTGAGCTCTGCTGTGGGAGTATACAGTGACCAAAATGGTGGTTAACACGGTCGATAATGTCACCTTACTGAAACCCAGAGCAGTATTTTTCAATATCACTCATGTGGCAAGGCACAGAGGCAACGTTATTTTCCAAACCTTTGATAGATCATTTGTGCTCTCCAGGTTGAGTACAGCTTGCAGTGATCCTTTTAATGCTTTTGGGCATGAAAAGTTCTTTAGAAGGGACAAAGGATGGATAGTAGCAAAGTGGTTGCTACCACAGCAGTTGGTCATATTATTTAAATGCAACTGCCTTCTCAGGTAAGTTCTCTTATTAGCTGTAATAATTTATAACAAAACCTCTGAAAGTGAGTCAAGGGGAAAAAGTGTAAAACTGTGTTTTAAAATAGGATGATGAGTCAACATACACACCCACATACTAAGAGAAAAACCAAGACACATAAAATAAGGATTTTTATTCACTATTGAAGTCAGCTCAGAGATTCAGTTTCTTTCTAATTTATATTTCCATATACCTCTGCATTCCCTGCGAGGGCTGAAAAATAGAAACATTACGCACAAGTCTACTCTCCTGATACTCCCACCAGACTGTAACCAAAATGCCACAGAAAACAGTTTGTTGTCATGAATTTGCGGTCCACTTTCCTGACTTTGGACAAACAGCAAAGACTGTTAACACTCTCCAAGTATCTGCAAGTTCTTCCTGCTCTGTAACTGCTCACCAGCTGTGGGGAAGAGGGCTAAATAGTTCTGTAAGGAAAGGACATCTGCTATTTCAAAGGCACTGAACTATTCTCTCTGGGTGACAGCATCTCAAAACTGTTTTCAGTAGGGCCCTTCATGAAATCAGAAGGATTGCAGGGGAGAATTAAAAGGGGCATCATTAGAAACAGATCAGTTAAAACGCACTACTAAAATACGACACCTAACCATAAACTACATTTACTATAATGGAGGAACAGTTTTTGAAGCAGCAGAGTTCAGAGCAAAGCTCTGCTTTGTCCGAGTATCTCATTTCAGTGGTCTCAATTGTACTGAAAGAGAATACAAAACCTGTAAATTTCTATCCTAAGTTAGTTCCTTAGCTCCTGCTCTGCCGTGCATCATCATCAGAAAGAAGGGAGCGACACCCTCCTCGCCTGAACAGCCTTTCCAGTTTTCCTGTAGAGACACTGCCCATGTGGGAGGTGGCACCTCACACAAACAGCAGCAAGTTCTACCCCTTTTTGGTAAGTTCTGGTTTGTAATAAAGTTATCTTGAAACCAGTCCTGCTCTTCAGGGTATTACTCATCTCACATGATATCTATGATAGATTAGTAGAATGATGTAGACTTTTGTATCTCACCAAAAAATGCTCTCTCAGTTCTTTTCCTGTTTTTCTTTTTTTTTTCACTGCCCATTTTCACAGTAAAAAAACTTTTATTTGCCTGCACATTCTGCCACTAGCTATATAAATATCCACAAAAAAACAACCTCCCGAAATAGCACTGAAAAGAATTCATGCCACCATAACCTCTTTTGTATTTGCTTGAACAGGCCTCTAACAGTGCTTATTATATTTCTTTGCAACCACGCTTTGTTTTGCTGGTATTAAAAAATAAACAAGTTTATTTATTAAAAATAAACAAATTAAAAACATTTACAATAATACAGGATCAGAAACACAGGAGAAGAACTACCTTCTGAAATACACATGAAAGCATACCTCTAACTATGCAGGTACAGCTAAAATCAGACTATCTTTATTAGCCTAAAGCTAGTGTAAAATTAGGGCAAAGGGTTGATGGAACATCAACATAAGAATCTTTATCTGATGCAGTTGCCCCCACACTTGCTTTTCTGCTGCTTTAACTGTTTCACTAAATAAATAAAAATTAGACTTGAAATGGCTAAGTTAAGTCTAAAAATGTTATGCATGATCTGCAATAAAAAGGTCAAAGAATGCATCTGAATGAGGGGAAAAACAGGAAAAAAGGGCTTCTATCAGACTCAAATTAACCTCTTCTATTGTACCACAGGAAAAATAAATTCATCCTTACATTATATATTTGCAGACTAAGGCTGTCTTCTGCATATGTAGCTGAGGAACCTTCCCTCTTTCTGCCTTCATGAGTGAAGTTCTAATTTTCGCAGAGCGCAAGAGACTGCCCCCGGCCTATCCAAAGTCAGGGTGTTTGCAAACACTCTGTTCCTTATCTACCATGAAGGCAGTGCCTTCATTACCCCCAACTAATACTCCCAGTCTGACTGAGTAAACTGCATAAAGGGATTTTTTTGATGGTTTTTTGCTTGCTTTATGAGTTGCCTCAGGGAAAAAAAAAAAAGAAAAGAAACACCCATTCTTCTGAGTTAAATGAGTGAAGAGCAAATGAAAAAACTATAGGCAATATTCTTACTCCATATAAGACATCACTATAAATTTTTGGCTGGACCCTTCAGAAGCAGGTGCAGTGAATGGTAGATGTTACATTGTAAAGGAGTACTTTGGAAAAGAACAGCAAATCCCTTGATCTGCAGCTTTTCTAGAAAAAGCTAAAGGATAGGAGAAGAGTCTGGAATTAAATATTGCTTTCTAAGGTGTAATTGAAAAACAGCATAGTACATTTAATTAACTATGTGGCTGAAAGAAGTCACCCGTTCATATAGGTTTTTAAGAGGACTAAATTTGTTTCTGATATTTATGTTACTGATACAGAATCTTGTGGTCACTGGCATGTAGCCAAGTGAAGGATTTTGATACAACATGAAAAGAACAACAACAACAAAAACACTGTGAAATCTTTACAATGGTTACGGTGCACACTTCAGTGGAGCAAATATCTTGAATCACCTGTTGTGAGATGTTTTATCTCCAGTAAGATTTACTTCGTATTCCCAGACTAGGTATAGTGCCTGTGTATGTATATGAAGCTGAGTTTCCTTGAACACTGGTTGTGTACAGCAACTAAATAACCTCATTCAGAAACACAAAAACCTTTCAGATTAGGAAGATAATTAACACCAAAGATTAAAATTATATTTGGTGCCTGTAACTGAAAAAGAGGCTGAAATAAATATGCACAAATGCCTCATACCATTTTCTTCAGGTTGCAGGTCTAGTAAGTCATCTACAGCACCTAATGGCAAAAAGAAAAGCACCAAAGGAAGATTAGTAGTATACCACTTTTTTAGATAATCAGCACGTACACATTTAAAGGTAGTTTCTTTAAGTCTCTTCACCTGAGTTCTGCTTGTGGTTAAAATGTCCTTGCAACGTGGCTAAGACATCCTTGCTGTCATCAGCTGTAAGGAAGATGCACACACACGTCATATGGCACTCAGCACAGAAACACGTTCAAGCAATGTCACTGTGAGCTCAACATGCAATAGTTTTTGGCATTCAAGTTTAAAGCGCACCTCGTCACAACGCATGAAAGTCCCAAGATACCAGTGTTTCTAAGTGAGTCAAATTTCTGTAAAATAACCAGGGGTATCGTCCTCTCAATCACGGCCTGACACACTAGCTCATCTCCAGGCTGAAGCAGCTCCAGATCCAAGCTTCGAGAAGTGAAAATACATCCTCTCAAATGTAACTAGTTCAAGTGCTCAGGAAGTTTCTTAAGTTGGACATGTAATCAAAATAAACCTCTAGATTCCCTCTGCAGACAGAGAGACACCTCCTACACTTGATTAATCCCTTTTAAGATATGCAGTAAAACACGAGGGATGAGTTGAACATGCCCTTCTATCCCTATTGAATATTGAGGGAACATAGCTTCTCCCCAACCCAACCAGGAGCTCTAAGCGCCAAAGAGGAGGCTTTCACAGTATTGCCAGAATGCAGATTTAGTACAAGCCTGAAGCTTGAGGTTGGAAAGGGGAAAAAAAATCCCCGGAGAGAAATAAAAAAAATGAAAGTCAAATTGTTTAAGGCAAAACTTCAATCTGTGTTCAGAACTAAGTGAAACAGAACAGTCTGCTGTTTGAATCCTATTATTTTAACCAGACTTTTGATTAGGATGATGGCACAGTCAGCACTGGACTCAGCTGCTCTTTTAAGGACCCATGATCACACTCTGATTACAGCCTATACACATAAGAGAGACATATATACACAGATGGACACATATGAAGATGCTTCTCCAAAAGGACAGTGTGAAAGGCAGAGAGGGAAACCTAAATGGTCTGGCAAGAAAAAAAAATAGAACAAAAAGTTGATGTCAATCGATATGCGCCACAACTTTTGCTGAAAATCTTCCTCAGTTCAGTGGTAAACATAATGAAGCCAATTAAAAACACATATATATCAGAGGAGAATACTGAGCAAATGATACAACTGAAAGTTATGAAACAGCAGTTTGCGAGGAAAACTAAGAAGGAACACAATTACATCACTACCAGCACTATGGCACCAAACACTTTAAGAAAATAAAATATTTTAGCAATGGCACAGACCCACTAATATATGGAGATGGAAACATTTAGCAAGGCAGGCAGAAGTATTCCAAAATACTCCAATTCTTTTCAGAAGTGAAGGAGAAAGACAGAATGTGTTTTTTTTTATTATGGACCATTCTGAAATATTTTACAGTCTGTAAGTATCTGAGAAAGATTCTAGAAAATATCTGCTAAGAAAGTATTTATATGTCTAATTTTCTATCAAAATCTACTAAGAGATCTGGTCAAATGGACATCTGATCTGATATTAATTTTCCAAAAGAATGAAACTTCAAAACATCAGGAAAGTCTTAATGTTTCCTTACAAAAAAGGAAAAAGACTCAAACAACAATTAACAGAATGACACAAGTAATTACAGATAACTACAGGCTGGCAGCTGACCATTACCCCCAGCTAAACATTAACTGAATCCCATATTGGGATTTGGTGAAAAATAGAAGCATAACAGATGCTCCTATAATAAAATGTTTTTTATGGAAGTAAGCCTAGCTAAAAAAACTAATTTCACCCTTTGATAAACTATGAGCTTTATTGATAAATATATCCATTTAGAAATAACTGACTTCACATTGCATGGTGTTCCAACTAAAAAGTTAGCATGCATAATATTTATAATGAACATGCTGAATAGATTAGGAACATGACAACTAACAGATGTCAAAAAAATAGTTGTTAGCAGAAATAGCTGCAGAGTGGAAGTGTTTAGTTCAGACCTACAAGGTTCAGTGTTATAGTTGTCACTACTCAATGGCTTTAGCAGTCACCTGGAAGCAAACAGAATCCCTGCTGAAAGAACGTGCAAACAACTGACAGGCTGTCAGAGGTGGTCGTGCAGGCTGGTTGTTCAGGTTTTATAGTCACAGATGGAAGAATTTCCATCCTAAGTCCTAAGTTATATCTTCAGGAACAAAGAGAGGCCCTGCCCTGGAATGGATGAATGAGTTCTGGAAAGCAGTAACCAAAAGAACCTGAGTATTTGTAAACAACAAGTTCAAAAAGGAGCTTCTAACCTGATGCTGCTCTAAGATGAGATGTCATTCTTGGATACATAAATGGGTAGATGATAAGCAGAAACAGGAATGTGGTTTTACCTTCTAGTAACACTACCGGTGAGACCAACATCCAAAATGTTTCATGTAGTTACATTCATTTTTCACATTTTAAAAGGAATGTTGGAAAAAGGAAGAAAATATTTAAAAGTGAAGGACTAGAGAAGATGCTCTGCAGACTAACCATCCATGTACTTAGTCTATTGTAATGAAGACTCTGAGGAATCTTAACTTTAAACTGCAAGTACTTCCATGGGGAATAAATGTATTCTCCATTTACTTGGTACAGAAATACACCCTACAGAAGCACGTCACGGTTTAGGTTGGAAGGACCTCTGCAGGTCATGTGGCCCGAGCCCCTTCTCAAAGTAGAGCCAGCTATGAAAGCAGGTCAGGCTGCTCAGGGACATGCCTGGCCATGGCACCAGAGGCTCTTCAAAATCTTTAGGAAAGGAGATTCCACAGACTTTTGGAGCACTTGTTCCACTGCTTTCCCACTTTCACCATGAACATTCTTTTTTCCCCAATATCTCAGCAGAACTTCCCTTCCTGCAACTTGTATCCATTGCCCCTTTTCTTTCACCTGCAAGTAGAGCCTGTCTCTGTCACTGTGTCATAACTACCCATTGAGGCAGTTGAAGGCAGCTGAATATGAACTTGCCTAGCTTTTAGTCAGAACTTTCACTGAATCCACCAGGCTTTACCAGAATACAGGTTTAATCACTGGAATAAACTAGCAAGCTCAGCTGCAAACTTTCCATGTCCTGCTACCTATAATCACAAGACCTTTCTTGAAGATGTGCTCAACTTAAGAATTACACCTTGGACAGACAAGACATGTGATTCACCTGAGGGTAACTGGATGAAATGTGAGATATAACACATAAGAGATCAGAGTGGATGATGACTTTTCTGCCCTTAGGTTTTACACATTTATTTGTTTGTAGAAACCAAACATACATTAAATAATCAAAAATTGAAAAAACAGATATGATAAGATTTATGAAGTTATGATAACATAAACTAATACCTGAATAGTTCGACTCCTTGGCATGGCTCTCCTCATCTAAGGAAATCAATCTTAATTTGATAGCGTAAGGAAAAAAAAGAGAGAATGCAATTTAATGCTATGGTATAATATATATTTTTTGCTAAATCACATCATAGAAAAATGTATGAATAACAAACAAACAGTAATTCATACGGATTTATGACCTTGTCACATATGCTGGTTACTTGATAATGTTTATTCTTTCATTGGCAAAATCTGTTAAAGATGATTTAGATTGAAGACCAACTGTCAAAATCTACCAACCTCCCATTTTTTAATCTGACTAAATATCTGTAATAAAAAGTGCAGATTTTTCTAGATTTTCTTTGTATAAATATCATGAACAGTATAAATAACTGTTAAAGACAAGAACAGGTTCTACTCATTTTTTTTTACCTCAGTAATAGCAAGTAACTGAAAATCAGCTAGGTGAATTTTGTCCCACATCATTAGACTGAGGCCACGTTCTAGTGCAATGTCTAGAGCTGCTGCAAAATACATGAAGGCTTTAAAAGCTTTATTTTACTTTCTGTAATTCTTCTGGAATTTTAAATTTAGCTTGTTTTAGGAAGAAATAGGATAAGGAAATGTCACACACACAAAAAAAAGAAAACGTTAATCTGTTAAAAAAAAAAAAAAAAAACAAGCACAATTCTGTCATAGTGACCCCAGAATTTGTTGGTAGTTGCCAACACACACATATTGCACAAATCATGCACCTATTCTAGAATTTTATTTTTCAACGCTGGAGAAAAAAAAATTATTCATGAAATTCTCTATTATCATCACATGAGGAGCAGCAGATTCACGCAGCTGCTGTGAAGGCAACCACCTGCCAAATGGTACTTGGCTGAGTACTTTTCTAATCTGCTTAGCACCAAAACATGCCAGTTTATAACCTGCTTTTGGTCAGTGGATGTGCACCTAAAAAGAAAGAGAAGAACTGCAAACAGCACTCCTAAAAACACTATTATAAATAATAGCCAAGCAAAATCCACTAATTATCAGCCAAGCTGTTCGCTCTTCCCTGCTTTTAGACAACCGATCCTTAGCTGGGTGCTGCACTTAACCACGGACAGTCAAAACAACAGGTGGCAGCAGGATTATGTCCACGTCGCATCTCCTCGCAACCGAATCCCGGCGCTCCCGAAGGGGAAGGATCACATCTCGGGCTCCGCTTCGCCTCTCCCTCCAGCAGCCCATTCATGAGAGTCCCTCACCTCGGAGCTGCAGGTAACTCAACCCTCGATAGCATCAGCGCGCTCAGATGTGCTTTTTCCTAAGTAGCGGCCGCTTCATTGGGTTACCAACCAAGGCTGTATACATTACAAAAACTAATCGCTGCCCAAAGCAATCAGGAATCCATATCCGATTCCCAGGTGTAAGGGGACGCTGCAGAAGGGAGAAATACAATGCTCCCATATCTGCTCCCTTGTGAAGCTGTTCACCACTTCTTTTACTAACGCAAAAAAAAAAGCTTCAAAATAAAGAGAAGGCTAGGAAAGATGAAAAGAGTTAAAATGAGGGTTTAATGGCACCGTTTCAAACTCAGTTTCACCAAAAAGGTTGGTAGTTCTCGCATACACATTACAGCATTTTTAGGAATTTTCATATAATCTTACTATTTGCTACGGAGCTCAGACCTGCTGGGCCTATATTTCTAGTCACAAATGCTCAATAATCCTAGCTACCAGAAGGCAGACTGCAGATGAAAATACACATATATTTGGAGATGCAGGACATGTGACTTACTGGCTCTGCTGATCTTGTACTGATTTAGTGCTTGCAATCTGCAGGTCCTCCTTTTCCGCTCTTGCTGTTAGTTTATTCACAGGATCTTGTAAGCTCTAGATCACAGTCAATACAAAAACAAGAAGAAAGCAAGCAACACAATCAGGGAAGCAGAATTGGGTCATATAAGGTGAAACTCTACAGAGCCTATGTAAATAAAGCAAGAATATGTTTCTGAGCCGTGTCAAAGCCACGTGTGTATCAAACAAACAAAATAACAAGAAATGTGAGGAGACACGAGAAGACACTCATTCCAGCTGAGTCACAAAGCTCACAGGCTTTATATAAGAACACCAATCTTCACTAATCTAAACACACGCTCTGTTCCCCATGTTTTTAAGAAAAAACATCTAAACCATGTGCAACACAGGCACTTTGCCACTTTTGGGGCTTATCCTTAAGATGAGAAAGAGTTGTTTTTAAAATCTATACTTTTCTTACTCCGCATCTTTATTTTTTTCTGACACTACTTACCAAACTGGTAGCTTGAAGCGTGATGGGATTTTGCTACCCATATCCTGCATTTGACACCCTAGCAAGTGTGCCATAAGGCACGCTTATTACATGTTGACATAACTGGGAATACATAACAGATAAATGCACCACTGGTTGTCCCTGCGTTATGTCTCTATGCATTAATTAGCATTTCTACATGAAAAGCTAAATAACTTTTATTTAGTTAGAAGCTAGAATTAAATAATTGCAGAAATTAATTACGTATGAACATTTGGGTCTATCCAAGGGTTTTTCTACACAGATAATTTTTTTTCCCCTTTTCAAGGTCTGATTCAGCTTTCTGAAAAATGAAACATGTTCCATTTTAGTAGTCCCAAGCAGTTGTAATCACTTTTATTTATGACTTATAAGTCTTACGGTCTCATTTCTCCCTCCCCAAAAAAGAAGTAGTTACGGATGATATAAACCATCTTCTATGCAAAACACATAGAATTGAAAAAAAAAGTGCCTGGAGTTTTAATGAAATGCCGGTATCTGCCATCAGAATAGCAAAACAACAATAAAAAAAAATCACCACTACGTCTGTCTAATCTGTTGAATAAAGGTTAGAGCCCTCCAACCATCTGTTATGGCAAAAATATTCCCACTCATCTAGCAGTGCAAATTTGCACTTTGAGCAGGACATCAGCACAGGAAGGGACATTCCAATTTCTGCTCAAGCTAGTATTTGTCTCTATGAGCAAATGTAAACGTCAATATATTAGAAATCAAGGCAACGGATTTCTCATGTGCTAGAGATGGATTTTTCCCTCTCAGTAAGTTATTTCTTTGTTCTATTCCACAAATTAACTTGTCACAAGCACCTGAAGCATTGCAGACACCAAGCCTCAACGGATGCAGCGTGGCTTAAGCAGCAAAAATAAACTGAGGCCTCAAGGAAAATTTTCTTACTGTGTCATTGGCATTTCTTTCTCAAAACAAAACAAAACACTGTCCCAGCAAGAGCAGAACTGCTTTTAGTGAACTTCTTGAATTGTGGAAATGGATAGTTCATGGTCCCAGAGCCCACTCCAAGAAAATGGTTATAATGGTTCTGAATAACAGAACTACAAAACAGAACAGAGCTACTTTAACCACCTGCCTCATTATAAAAGCATAAGAAAATAATCAAAAGCAAAAATCTCTAGCATCTTCACAAGCAAAAAAAAAAAAAACAGAAAAAAAGAAATCAACCTCCTCCTATATTATGATGCTTCCTTTATTGTTCAGAGTATTTCAGGAAATACACTTTTAAAGGACTTGGATCAAATCATGGAAACAGCATACAGAAATGGAGTTCACAAGTGTTTTCTGGAAGGAAACAGCATGATAATAATAGGAGTCAGTATTTCCTGTAATAGAAAAATAAATACACGCCTAAAAGATAGCAGAGAGAGGCACAGATTATGATGAAAATGGTTAAAAATTGGAGTCATATTTTAATGCAATAATTGTTTAATTATTTTGACATTTGTACCCTCAAATTCAGCTAGCAAATAATGAAATCATTTTCCTAACTCCTGCCTCTCTCCCTTCCTCCCTCCCACATCCCCACGTGCACTACAAACTGATAGGTCATTTTTAAAAGATACGAAGGCTAAAGAATGGTATGAAATAAAACTGAATGTTAGGAAATAACCACCAACTCTTTTTCTCAACATGAACACATAGCAACGTGATCACTATTGACAATCTGCATAAAAATTCAACCCACTGACACGCTGCAATCCTTTCCAGCTATATCCCAGAAGAAGGGAAGAGCTCTCATTATCTAGAGAATGTAAATAATTTTTTTAAAAAAATGCTATAAACACATAGACTGAATTCTGACACAAGCAAGAACACTTCAGTTTGGGGTATAGGGGAGTCTGAAAGAGAAGAGGAAAAGCAGGTAGCCTTGGAATTTCATCATGGAGATTTATGGAGAAGAAGGGAACCCAGAGATACAAAATTCTATGCAATCTTGCATGGTGAATAAAGCCAATAAAGTCAGGAGTGAGAACGGGTACCAGGTCAGCAGAACACACTAATATTGTAGGACCTATTCAAACACGGTTCTCAGAACTGTTTAAGTAACAGAGTCCCATTTTGCAGGCAGATCCGTGGATGCACAGAGATCCTGTGCAGCCTCCTGACTTCCTAACCCAGAACTATTGTTGTTTCTAAGCCCATATGAACTATTCAGTAAGTCTGGTATTACAGTAATGAAATAGAGAATGTACAGAAAATGTAACTAAAAAATTATTAAGTAACAATGGCAAATAAATAGTTACAGAAATTAGAAAGAGGCATCATTCTTGGAAAGTAGCTCTTGAAATAAATTTGAATACATTCAGTATACCACAATTTCAAGAAAATTAAACCTTATGAGTTTTACCAGAACAGTAACCCATCATCTTTAATATTATAGCAAAGGACACTTCTGCATCACAATACATGGAGTTGTTAGCTCATTAATAACCATCTTTCATCAAGCATAAAACTAGCAGTTAGGAAATACAGCTGCAATAGCACACAATTACACTACTTTCAGCATATACCCTGAAGCAAAAAAAAAAAAAAAAAAAAAAAAAGGCTGCTTTTCATTAAGGGAGCTAGGCAAACATCTCCAAAGACAATGTTTTCTCTTCAGAAGCAACCATGAGAGGCATTTCAGAGTCTCTTTTCTGAGGTAAAACTAGCACATGAACACATTCTAGCTTCAAAACACAAACAGTAATTTTCCAGTGCATAACACCTTCTAATTTTCCAGTATGACAATCAACATCTAAGTGAAATATTAACACTGTTCCCTTAAATTCTTGTTTTAAAGAAGTCTGATGTTACACAGTTTAAGTTGGAAGGATCATTTGTGTGAGTGAAGGTAAGCCTTAATATCACAGCTGGAATCATAACAAAGACAAGGATGATTAGCAGGCACCACAGTCAAAGCTACAGAAAATTACCTGTGCCTCTTTTCTTTTAGAAAAGATCCCTTTTAAGATATAAAGCAAGGGAAATTTTAGAATAGATGACACATGATTAAACAGGTAGAAATAGGCACATTGAAGGATTTCATGCATGTTTTAAGCAATTTTATATTCTGATTGCACATTCTTAATATATAAAATGACCAGCAGATATCTCATCTTTTTGGGGTAAAATTGGGTGCTTTATGCTCCAGAACGGGTGCATTTGCCTCAGATTTTTTCCTCCAAGAGTCTAAATCTTGCAATACATTTTGAAAGATCATTTGTCTTTACCAAATAAACAACCTGTTGGGTATACAAGAAATTGAAGAATATATAGCCAGCAAAAAATATGTCCTCACAAATTAGACTGAAATTGGTTCTCTCAAAGCACAGAGAAAAAGGACTTTGAGATGTGACACATCAAGAAGTTCTGAGCAGAACAGCGAGTTGTGTGGTGCCATCCTCCTGGAGAGAACTCTGGCTATTCTAAACATGGACCATGACCTAAACATGGTTGTGATGGGAGGTGATGGTGGAGAAATAAACTTGCCTTTCTGGTTTGGAGATTAACTGGGGAGTCTGTAAGCAACTACTGGTGAAATCAGGATAATGGAATATGCCCAAACTCGAATGCTGCAGAAATCTGGAGCTACACTCTCCAGAGTACCCCTGGACCCCTGTCATCTGTGATATGGACTAGAAGGGAAGGACTACATTAACTTCACCCTAATGAGGACTTTTTCAGCAAGACAAAACTCTTCAGGGTTAAGCTGGGAGAGTTCATGAGGCTTTAATGCTGCCCAGAGCAGAGCTGCTATTTTTTCCTCTGGTCAGGAGAGATTGAAGCTTGACATTTCTTTGTTTTTTTGTTTTGATGCTTCAAGCTGCAGGAATAACAGTCCCTGCAAGCTTTTGTGCACTACAAAGCTCAGCAACCGCTCCCTTTCCATCCACACTCTAGAAAACAACTTTAAATATAGCATAGTCATGTTCAGACAGGTCTGGTAGTCTGGAGCGAATTTAATTCTATATCTTCAGGTGCTTATTTTCCAGGAGCTAAGGGACAGCCACAGGCTACACAACACAGTGCAACCCAACTTCTACTGCATATAATACACGCAAACCTCTCACGGACTGAGGCCATGACTTATAATTATTTTAAAACTGGATTGTCTCTCTCAGAGCAAGCTGCACTTTGCTGCAAGCTGTTCATTCCTCACTTCTCTTCTGGTGGTAATCCTGCCCTAAGACCTTCTCCAGATGCTATTTTCCTTCCATGCAAATAGAATCAGAATCACTACAGGACAAATACAACAAGAAGTAACTAGAAAGTTAATGAACTTTTCCACTGTTTCCCCATTTATTTAATGAATCTCCAAGTAGAAAGGAAATTCTTATGCAGGCACAGTGCTGAGTACGTATTTTCAGATACTTGGCTAAGCTCTGAATTCATAGATTGCCGTCAGACATTGCATTATTCCATATTCAAAGTTTATAAAAGATTCACCAAACATTACTAGTCAAGCAAAACAATGTTTTCTAGAGCAGTTAAGGGGTAAAAAGTACTGAGTACAACTGTGGTACCTCTGAGCATTTATTTACCCGTATTCAATCTGATAAAGTCTTCTTAAAGAGTGGCAGATTTTAGAAAGAGATGCAAAACCAAAATATTATGAGTTTGTTTGTGGGGTCTTGGAGGGCAATAGACATCCCAAATTCTGCTGGATTTTACAATACTTTAGGACAAATCAAGCAAAATTCTAGTGAGCACTGAAAACATATACTTAAAGGAATAATGATTTCTTCTGAAATAGGCCCTTAATCATTGCACTCTACATGCACCCTTTAATCCCAAAGGATGAAAGTGCATTTGACAGACAACCTATCAATCTTTTCTTTTCAAGGAAAAAAAAAACAACAGAGATAAAATAGCAACTGTTGGACAAGCATGCAAAATATGAATGTTTACTTTCTACACAGTTAGTTGTATGGTCGCTTATTTTTATCACCGAAGAAATAAACATAACTAAATATTCCTTACCTTTAACATGGTGAATTCATATGGCTGATAACCTTTAAAACTTTCGTGGATAGCTGCCATGGTGTGTGAGGTTTTTTCCCAAAAATGAAGAAGTGTTGTCTGTAATGGAAGGTAAAATTTCAATACAATATTAGCTTAAATACCAACCTGCTTTTGCAAACTTTGTGCCACTCCCTCATTAATAGTTATATTAATAGTTGTCATAGTAACGTCTTCTGAGAATGTATTCATTAATAGTTATATTAATAGTTGTGCCATATCTGCATACTGTCATAGTAACGTCTTCTGAGAATGTATATTAACAGGAAATCTTTGTTTTGAAGGTCAGTATTTTCTTTGGATACCTGATATGTTGTTAACACATGAGAAAGGAGGTTGCATCTGCTTGCTCCCAAAAGATCCACTTTTTGGCAGACATCGGTCTTCAGCTTGTCAAAGTTGAGTTTTGCATGTCGCACTTGAGCTTGAACCTTCAAACAAAGGGACAATTGTTCATGTAGTAAGACTTTTTTTCATTTTTCTATCACAACTTAATCAAAAAGGAAAACTAATGCAACTTTTGAGAAAATTAGGAACTGAACGCACTCACTTTAAAATTATACAAAAGTTTATTACTTACTGAGTACTGAGTATCCACCTCAAGAAGTAGCAGACTAGAATATACTAATTCTTCATATTGTCTATATTCTACATAACTATTATAATATATTCAGTGAATGAGCTTGTTTTCTATCCCCATATGTAAGATGGAGAAAGTATTAAATATATACTGAGAAGATAATAATTAGACAATCCTGGTGTCTTTTTATGGAAATATCAATTTAAAGCCTGATCAACAAATTTGGAACTATGTGCTTACTACATAATATACATGCACACGGAGACATCTACATGCACCTATAGTAAGAAAGAAATAACACTGATAACCTACGTTATTGATCAGCAGCTCCTGTTTGCAGTAACTGCAGTAACTTTAAACTGCTAAAGAAAGATTTAACACAACAGCCTTTAGGCAGATTGAGCATGAAAAAACAATATATCATTTATCTTAGCAAAGTAGTGTCTTTTAAAAATTAGAACATTTATGAAGAGAAACAGAGCGATCCACTCGACCCAATGCGGAATACAAGCTTATGTCTGATACATCAGTACACATGATTAAAATACTTAATGCAGTGCTGTGTTACTAAATGCTTCACAGTTTTCTCACCAACTGTGGAAGAAGCAATAGTATGAGAACTATTAAATTAATGATGCTATTCCACATTTTGCTATACTGAACATGTGCTATCTCACAGCAGCAGGGCAGGACAGCCAAGAAAGAACACTGCAATACATCAGCATGATCTCTTGCCGTTTACGTGGGCGTATAAATGCATTTTCAATCCAAATTATTATTAAACCTCTTTTTAAGATTACTTGTAGCTTCAGGAATTAAGTCAAAACCCGTTATGCTTACAAATCATAATCTACTTAATAACACACAAGTTATCAGGCTGAACCTTTGGTTTTCTCCTCAAGGGAAAGCTGATGCAATACATACTAATCTTTTATTTTCTCTGCCATTGCTTTTTAGGACATCACAGACAAAAGGACCTCATTGTGGCTTCAGTCCTGCAAATTCTTATGCATATATTTAACTTCATTAAAGCTGAAAACACAACACTTGATCAAAGTCCTGCTCTGAAAAGAGCACTGAGATTTCTAATGGGCTGTTAGGGAACTGCCCCAACCCATACGTGACGCGAGCATTTGACAGTGAAAGCAGCAGCTCCTAAACATCTGGGCAACGCCGCTGCTGGTTGTGCTCCACAGCTTTGAATTCTATGCTGACAAGAAAATTTCATTATGGTACCGCTGACCAAAACAAACCCAACCACGAGGCTACTGCTCTCAGTCCTTTCCTTTCTCCTAGGGCTACCTGGAGAATCTACTTTTAATTCCTCAAATGCAAATATCAAAATACTATATTTAAGGGACAGAACTCTTTAAACAGAGCCCAGGGTAAAAAAAGAAATTTGGAAAGCATTATCTTATCAAACCAATAGCTCGAAAAAATGGACAAAGCCCAGATAAAACTGAAATTGCTTTAAAAGAGAAAAAATAATGCAAATATCCTAAGTCTTGTGGGCTTGAAAGACAAACTCTGGTATGCTTGATTGAAAAGGCCAGTATTTGCAAACACAGATTCCTCAAACCACATGCAAATAGCAAAGTCCCATTCTTCAAGGGTGCTAGCATCAAAAAAGTGGAGTCCAGATTCCGTTAAAAAAGCTGTTCAGTGCATTTAGCAACTAAATCTTAGTAAACTAAAATACAGATGCATTATGTATTTTCAAGGAACTTTTATGTCCTAATATTTCTGTGTTATTACTGCTTTTTAGCAGTAAAATAAAATGCATATTTTCAGTAGTAGCTCAACTCCAGGGACGATTCAGCTAGCGAAGCATCACCTCCAAAATGAACTTAGACGGGATCAATGGCACCAACTCATTTTACAGACAGTACATCTCTGTCTCAGCATTTCCAACCCAGAAGCAGAAACAGATGCTTCCCCTTTAGACTGTCACCCAGCTTCTCACTTACTCGATCCCAAAAGCATGCACAGTGTGTGCAGAGGCGGGTAAGTAAATCATGAGGGGAAAAATGCCTGGAATATAGCAAACCTTCCTCGTGGGGGCTCTGGGTAAACTCTACCAGCAGAAGAAAACAGCGCAAATCTCTGCATTAAATAAATATAGTACTCTGCTGGCCAGGAAGATCACTGGAAAGACCACATGAAACTTAGATGCCTACTGAATAGTTTGAACTTGAAGGACCAAGTGTTTAGCCTACGGAGTTATAACAAGGAGCACCCACTACACTTTTACACCGACATACACAACTATTCATACACTGTTTCCTTTTTTTTAAATTTGAGATCGAAGCCTGCTAATCTAAGAACAGAAAAGGCAGTGGGTTTTATACAAAACAATGCCTGAAATTAAATTGTTCCCTGTGCAATGTAAGGTCTCCCAGAATCCTGCACACTACTAATCTTGATTCCTGCACGGTTTGGTATATTCTGCATTTTGCCAGCTACACTTCAACTCAACCGTTCCCTTCACTTGAAATAGGATTTATTTTATCTATGAAGCTCTGCTCCACGAAGCTGTAGGAATAATATATAAGAACAATGATTAAGGAAGAGGTCAGACACTTTTGTTTGCATACATTAGGCCTTGTTATTAAAATATTTTACTATGATCTGTTAAGAAATATTGATAAAAACTCATTTTAGGAGGTAAAATTTATAATGTGAGAAACATCTAGATAAAAAGGAAAGCTATTTGAATAGTACAATATTTCCAAATAAAATTTCTCAGTTCAGCTTCAAACATCGGCAGCTTCAAAACAGAAGATCAGATTTGTTCAAGAAATGAAACTCTATTCTTGAATGGGACAACATGAATTTAAATGACCCAGAAGGGAGTGCTTAGCAAGGGCCAATGATACATTTTCTCAAGTCACCATTAAGACCGTCTGTGCTTGCGCATGCATCCCCTTGCACCTTATCCTATCAAAATTGATTAGGCAAATTTGCACTCGTGCTGCAATTCATGCTAAAGACTTAATTAACATTTCATGTCTGCCTTTCTTACTCTTGAAAGCAACAAAAGTAAGTTCTGTCTTTTTGACACAAAGGCATCAGAGACGACAAATCTGAAATCAATGTTTTGCTGTTTGAAGAAGAAAAGCTCCAGATATGTTTGCTGTATGGACAGCCGCCTTCCTCCTATTCCTACGCAGAACTTGTGGGATTGTTACCCGCGAATGAAAATCCCAGTCACTACGGCAGGGTGGAAAAAAAAAGAAAAAGAAAAAAAGCTGCACTTTGACATTCTATAATATCATGAAAAATGCAGCTTAATAAAGATTAGTGTAACAGTAGCAGAATTTCACCGTATTTGCTGGGTCAGATTAGACATTGGAAAACTCATGTTTCTATGGCAAACTATACTATATATATATATATATTACTATATCTTAAACATTAACTTTCTACAAATGAGCACAAAGTCTTCATTATACGCTGGTAAAAGTGTTAGCTTTCCTTTAGTTCATAATATTTTTTTCTAATTGGAACAGTGATTTCCTCATGATTTTAACATGTGTTTTACTATGCTCATACTATGACAAAACTGGCTACAGATAAACAAATTGGTGAAACATCACACTGTAACTGCAATGTTACTCCCCCAAATACCGTATTTCAACCATATGAGATAGAAGGTTCTTACACTTGGTCCTCCTTCTCACAAAATGAGATTATTTATTCAAAACCAGGATTTTTACCCACCACTCATCAAAATGTGAAACATAACAGCTGTAATAATTTTAATTCCTGCATAATGTGAACAATAGCCTCTGATGATAATTCATATTTTCATCTGAATACGTGAATATCCCCATTGATTTCAATGGTACTGCTCATTATTACTATTTAACATTTGCATTGAGGCAGTTACCCAAGGCTTCAGTGATACTGGGTCCCATTCTACTAGGCAGCAAAAAGCACCGAATAAATCACCGACACGTCCTGTAGTTACGGAATATGTAAAGTGGAGGCCTTGGTGTTTTTTTCTCAAGAACAAGGGTGGGTGGCACCCATGTGAGCTCGGGTCCAGCACCGCTGTGCCCGACTTGCAGAGCATCGTTCCGAGAGCCCCCGCGCGCTGCACACAAGGGCAGTGCGCACCAAGTCTGCTGCAAACTTTTCCAGAACTAGAGTTGCCACTCGGTGTCGATGCAGCGTGGTCACGTGAGCTTCAGTCTACAATGGGGCTCCTAATAGGAACATTAGGATGTGAGAAGTTTGAAGGTTTCATTTTTCTGGTTATGTTAATCTATGATAAAAATATAAACACACCTAGTGTACAGGCTGGTGTGAAGACTGAATTCTTCTACTTAAATTCCACATTTTGAGGGTGCTCTTGCACACTGTACATCAGGGCTAATGGGCAAGGCCATGAAACTTCAAACTCCCTCCTCCATCCTCTTGTCCTTCTCAGCAAGCAATAATAAAGATGCTATAAACATAAGAATATTTGTGTACCATGCAAGGATTATATGACAGAACTAAGTTTCATATGGACATTTTATACCGACGCATGATAGTCTTGATGCAACAAATAGCTCTGAAATAGCATGCAGCATGCAGCTAATATTGCAATAGAGTTTGTAAGGTCCATGAAATGAATAGAAATAAAAGCCTTTTCGTGTTCTGGTCCCTCTGTGTCTCCACAGCTCACACTATGTTATAGAATAACTGTTTTTAAATTATTATTATTATTTTAATCAAGGAACTGATCATGTTGTGGTAGCTCTCACCTCTCCTTGTAACATACCACACAGCCTTGTGGCATTGAGTAAATTTTAATTTGAAAATAATTTTCAGGAACTTTTGGGGAAGCTATATATAAGGAACTTC